TCCTCCGCGAGTCTCCAGCTCCAAAACCCTCAACTACAAACACCAAGACGGGCTCCTCCGCAGGTCTCCATCTCCACGATCCTCAAACAGAAACAAGAAAACCGGCTCCTCCGCGGGTCTCCAGCTCCATGACCCACAAACTAGAAAACAATGCTCCACCGTGTATCTCCCGCTCCACAAACATCAACTAGAAACACCAACTGCAGTTCCTCCGCGACTCTCCAGCTCCAAAACCCTCAACTACAAACACCAACATGGGCTCCTCCGCAGGTCTCCAGCTCCATGATCCTCAATTAGAAACAACAAAACCGGCTCCTCCGCGGGTCTCCAGCTCCGCAAACCACAAACTAGAAAACAACGCATCACCCTATATCTCCAGCTCCACAACAGTCAACGAGAAACACCAACAATGGCTCCTCCACAGGTCTCCAACTTTCCAAACCTCAACTAGAAACACCACCACCGGCTCCTCTGCAGGTCTTCTCCTCCACAACCCTCAACTAGAAACACTAACACCAGCTCCTCCACAGGTCTCCAACTCCCCAAACCTCAACTAGAAACACCAACACCGGCTCCTCCGCGGGTCTCCAGCGACACGACCCTCAACTACAAACACCAACACCGACTCCTGGCGGGTCTCCAGCTCCACGACATTCAACTAGAAACACGAACAGCTTCTCCTCCGCAGGTCTCCAGCACCATGACCCTCAGCAAGAAACACCAACACCGGATTCTCCGCGGGACTCCAGCTCCACGATCCTCAACTAGAAACACCAACAATGGCTCCTCCGGCATGTCTCCAACTCCACGACCCTCAACCAGAAACACCAAGGACACCTCCTCCACGGGTCTCCAGGTCCACGACCCACAAACTAGAAAACAACGCTCCACCCTGTATCTCCAGCTCCATGACCCTTAAACAAAAACATCAATAGCCGCTACTCCGCCGTCTCCACCTCGATGACCCTCAACTAGAAACACCAACTCCGGCTCCTCCATGCGTCTCCAGTTCCACGACTCTCAACTAGAAACACCAAGTCCAGCTCCTCCACGGGTCTTCAGCTGCACAACCCACAAACCAGAAAACAACGCTCCACCCTGTATCTCTAGCTCCACAACTCTCAATGAGAAACACCACCACCGGCTCCTCCACGGGTCTCCAGCTCCACGACCCACAAACTAGAAAACAATGCTCCACCCTGTATCCACAACCCTCAATGAGAAACACCAGCAACGGGCTCCTCCGTGGGTCTCCAGCTCCACAGCCTAAGACATGAGAGGCAGCACTGGCTCTTCCCGTAGATTCCAGCCCCGAGACCCTCAGATTCGAATCGCAGGACCTCTTCCCCACTAGATCTCCAGCTGCACAATACTCAAACTGCAACAACATCAGCTCCTCCTAGGGTGTCCAGCTGCACG